CCTCAAGGTTGAAAACATGTAAAAGGAACTTTACGCAGATCATTAATGATAAATGGCGAAGCTATGGTACAGGTCTGATACAAATCCTAAAAGAATTTCGCTTCTTTTTGACATATGACTAAGGGTGTGGGTGGGTGTGGGTGTGGGTGGGCGTGGGTGTGGGTGTGTGGGTGTGGGTGAGTGTGGGTGTGGGGTGTGGGTGTGAGTTGGATGTGGGTGTTGTTGCTCTTTTGAATCACATCACCCACACCCACACCCACACCCACACCCACATATCCACACCCACCCACACCCACACCCCACATCCACACATCCACACCCACCCACACCCCACACCCACACCCCACATCCACACCACCCACATCCACACCCATCCACCCACACCCACACCACTCACCCACACTCACACCCACCCTGTGATTGATATAACAGAGACCGATTCTGATAAAACAGTGAGTAAATTAATTCTTGCTCATATGTTTTCTTTTTTTGGAATCGATGTTTTTAGTCTTTATTTAGCTTTTCTTATTCTTTTACTTGCTTGAATTCGACCATTACCAATCGTTGATAAGTAAGATGAATTTCTTATTATTCAAATAAATGAAAAAAAATCTTTTTAAAGATCTCTTGATGTTGATCATGGATTGAATGCACTTATTCTAGCACCAAATCGTGAATTAGCACAATAAATTGAATAAAAAATAGTTGAATTTGAGTTAGAACAAGTTTCATTATTATTCAAATGTAGAATATCGCAGGACAAAATAGAATTCAGTTGACTTTTGAATTGTCCTAGTTCAGATTAAAATATCGAGACAATTAATTGAAATATTCGAAAAGGATAAATAAAAATATATTAATAAAGAGGTTTTACACTTCGAATCGCTTTACACAGCATCATTTTGCTATATTCTACTTTTGATTAAATATTTTCTGTGCTTGTTTGAAATTTTATCCCCGAACAGACACTGACATTATCTCCGAGCTGGTGTAGATCCCCTGTAAATAATTTCCACCTCTGTTTAAACAGTTGAAGTATGACATGATTGTCCAGTAAAATGATTTTAGTTTAGCTGCTGCAGATAGTTTGGTCACAAGCAAGTGCCTAAAAATTTTCCAGATAGCAATCTACGATAACGAAAAATGTTTCTTCACACTTGCTATAGGTATGTTCTTCTTCACAGCACAATTAGTTTGGCTGCTTGATTCAATAGAATCCTAATAAAAGAATTCTTCGATTGGGATTGTTATAAATTCCGATGGGATCCAATTGCAACTATCAAGATTCGATGGAATAAGTTTTTCCTAGGTGTAGGAGATTCGTACACAGAGTGACTATATATGATTAACATGATCGATGGTGGTCTCAAAACTATTTTTAGATTATTTAGTGACTTCTATGTAGACTATTGTATCATTTTGAGCGATTGTGTTGTCTACAAGTATACAATATTCGTATTCCCATGTAGAAAAATTGAATGGAGTTTCTTATTAGATTTTTTACATGGGTCGTCTTGAGATTTCAATATAAACTATGGTTCATCTCAGAAAAGAGCGGGTGGATTTTTTTGAATAACTTTTGATAGACCTAAGATAAAAAGCTGCAGTTTTCATCGTTAGAAACAGAAGACGAGCATACATCGAATGGTATAGTATGAGCTTCTCTAAAATGTTTTCTTAGTCAATTTTTTGAAAAAATGCCGGAAAATTGGTTTCTCTTAAAATGAGAAAAATGCAAATAGAGCAATTTTTTTCACAGAAGCTAAAACAAAAATCAGCGACGACTTTCGAATAAAATACCTATAACTCCTGAACGGTAAATCTAAATGTCTGACCTTGTGCAGTTTTGTAGATCTCCATTTACCAATTTGAATGGACATCTGTTTTTTGAAAAATGGCCTTAATCATCTTACGAGATATGTTCACCTCTTTCTAACAGTGAAAATCGCAGCTCTCTATAGTGATTCTATCAAAAGTGACTCAAAAAAATACTCACTCGCCTTTTTTTTAAATGGGCAATAGGATTATTGACAACTGAACTGAGTTCTATTCTGTCCTACGACATATACATTGATTAGTTTTTGTTTATATTTAGCCATTAAATATAACTGTCGTCTTCGTTATTAATGGTTTATCTAGTGGAGAATAAAGTTGTCAACTTCATCTTGACTATCAAATTATTGTTGGTACATGAAGGATCGTCTTATTGATGTACTTAAAAATCGTTATTTGAAATTACAACAATCTATTTATGTTGTTATGGATGAAGCTGATCGAATGATTCGTAAGAAAAATTTTAATTATTTATTTATTTGGTTCTCGTTAGTTTTTTTTCTTATCATATTAATGGATTTTGAAGCCGGTGTTAAATGTATTCTTCAATATTTAGTAGTTTCAAATCAAAAACTAGACAATGAAGCTGTAGACGATACAAGATAACCAAAGAAAATATTTTTCTTTGTTTTATATTAAGAGATTTTACTTCAAAAGATAATATCGTCAAACATTGTTGCTTACAGTAACAATGAATGTTTAGCACGTACACATCTTCGTTATCGTTTAGCATCTGTTTATGTTGAATCAATTGGTAATCTAACTGAATGTTGTTGCCCGAATTATTATTTTTCATTTTTTTTTCTGTTTATTTCTATTAGGATGGAAGAGGTCAAGAAAGTCGAAATTTAGCTTTTCATTCAATTAAAACAAAGTGAAAAAAGATATTCTTGTCGCAACAGATGTTGCTACTCATAGTGCTTATGATATGGATAAGACAATTCAAGGTAAAAAGGAAATAAATATGACTTAAATTATTTTAGATTATATGTATCGTATTGATGGTATAGGTCTTACAGGAAAAACAATAATATTTTTAACAAGATCGTAATAAAACTGCTATTCTTTATGCTAATAAAATAAAAAAAAGATTATTTATTATATTTGTGTCTTGGTTTTTGGTCTGATTATGGTGTATTATTTATAAATAAGTATCTCATGAAAAAATAAAATAATAACGTATGATGTATTTAATTATTTTATGAAAATGATCATTTTTTTCTATGCGGTAATGTTTACTACTACGACAGACATGTTCTTGCTGTACAATCACATGTCAATACAAATCTCGTATTGATTTCGATTGTTTTTTGTTTGGAAAATTCTATTCAGATTGACGTGCTTATTTCACCGAAATCTGATCATGATGATGATTCACAGAATATTATTGGCGCACAATGTTTAAAATAAATTATTCGAATATTTTCGAACTTCAACATCAACATATTATTCGTTCTCTACTCGATGTGATAGAAGAAGATCGACAAACACATAAATAAAGAAATTAATATTAATGATGATAGTACAAGTAAAAAACAAAAATACTTCTTCTGTTTTATGTTAATCATAGTTCATCATATTGTTTCAAAATTAATTCTTCAATGAATGAAAAATTCTGATAAAGAATCTGTTGCTGTATCGAAATATTTAATTGGAAGTATGTCAAATGTATCATAAATTAAATTCAGCGAACATGATCTTATAATGAATTAGCAAAAGATTATTACAAACAGCTTATATATTATATGATGCTTTTGTTATTAAATCATATCTTAATTGAATTTCCTCGTTCGAGATTGTTTAAAAATTACATTATCAAGAACATACAAGTTAGATGCCTTCGAAAATCACTTATGACTACTGGACAGAGAAGAGCAGATTAAGGCAAATGATCCTATGATCAATCTTGTTTGTTTAACTACAGGGAGAAATTCGTCATTACTTGACAAAATAAGTCATGTTTCAATCAAATAAGTATTAGATGTAGTGTAATACACCTTTTCTAAGAGGAGAGCCAAGTGACAAAATTTCGTTGCCTAAACTAAACAAAATAAAATCTTGCATCATTTCTTTTTTTTTCTAATATCGAATTTCATATAGTCGAAAAATAGATTCTCAAAATGAAAAGACAAATCTTTCAACAGCTATGGTCTTACACTGTTCAGCGGGTGTGGGTGTGAATGAAAATAAGAGCTACACCCATACCCCCATCCAATTGAAAAATATTCTTTAAAACAAACCACCCCGCAAAATGTCGTCAAGTGTTGTTTGAAAAGAAAAGGAAAACACTCATGCTGTTTGAACGTTCAGAAATATTTGGTCTTCCCCGTCATCTCTTACCAGATTTACCTAGTTTTGATAAGTCTCCTGCCTTCTTCTTTATCTGGACATCCTTCATAGGTGAACCCTAAGCATGATCATTCAAAAAAATTGTATAGTATATAATCAAACAGAAAAATCAGATTTTTTTAAACGTCCAATACAAATATTTGTTTAAATTATTACTTGAAATTTATTTATCAAAAATATGAAAAATATAATCAAATGATAAACACTATTCCATCGAATAATCAACTAAGAGTCGAAACTACAATACCATTAAATGTATTAATCAATTCTATGTCAAGCCAAGCATCACTATATTCCATAGGTTATACTTCTTTTGTTCAACCTCATAGTAAGCTTATCTATGTCTATAATCCGAATAAGCAATATGATCTGTCTTATTACACTAATCCTGATTATATACGAAAGTAGTATTTTCTCTGACATACTTTTGTCTAATAATCATCTCGTAGTAATCCTCAATATGAATTACACCAATATTGTATCTTCTATGAAAAGCATTTAAGAAGAATAGTAAGAAACCGAAGAATACAAATATGACATACAAAAAAAAACTATGATTGATATCCAAACTTAAATTCTATTTACTTCTGTTAATCTTTTTATTGTTTTTAAGTTAGAGAACATTGACCTATATATGCATTTCTTATATTTTTCATAAGTTATGTATTATTTCTAAACAAGTAGACTGTATGTTTATATTGCGATCAACACTCATGAACAGGTTAGTAGGCTAGCAATATATAGAGCTTATGTTAAAAAAATTTGATTTGATAACAGGTAATGATAAATGATATATTGAATAACCTTTACACTTTGATAAAATGCTTTATGAGAGACTATTCGTAAATATAGACAGTTATATCATTTTCATTTATTTCAATAATACATCAGATATATATTAAAGTTAATTGATCGGATAAATTTATGCTTTTGTCCGATAAATCAGTTTAAGTCTATTACAAAAGTTATTGCAAATGAATTCAACAATTGTGTTCATAAGATGAAAACAAGAAATTTTGTTTCAATTAACACTTTTTTATCTGAACAACTTAATTTTTATGATTCACATTTTCAAAATTGAGATATCTCTTATAAAATGAATGACAAAAATCATATGTGATGCAATCGATAACTATGTGATCGTACTGCAACATCTCACAAAGGAACATTTTCAATTGAACAATAGTTTTTGAGTTCGAACAATGTGCTTAAGGTAGATCTTAGTAAGACATAAGAAGCATCAAAAAATCCCTTTTATCTAGAGTTATACGCATTTTATTGAAATTTTTATCATCAAAATGCTCTGAAAATTTCAACACAGAAAATTGTTGGATCTTTCATAGAACATGAGTGATTTTCTGAGTATCCTACTGACAAGTAGATCTCTCCGCAGGCAAAATCTCAGATCGAAACTACTGTCATTCGATTAGTTGATATACACCATGCTAGAGACTAAAGTTTCAGTAAATTATCTATAACTCTTAGTAGATCTAATGAAACTCGTACTTCTTAAGTTTTTCATGCTTCACTAGAATCTATCTTATGTACAGAGTCGAATTCACAATCAATTGAAAATTTTTCCTCATTAAATCTTCCTAGAATTTAACTAATCAGGTATTATCTAATGTTGATCATGGTAATATCCTGAATAGGAACATTTCGATATAAGTTTATGTAAGTTGTACATGTCGCAAGAACGATTTCTTTATTTTGAAATTTGAGAAGAAAAAGCTACTTATCAGTATCTTACTACTTATAAAACCAGAGTGTTATATTGATTTAAATTATTTATTTTATTTTATCGTAATCAGAATAAATGATATCTCATTTATGCAAATTCGTTTCGTATATGAATATGATAATAAAAAATGAAAAACGAAACAAGACAATTCTTAACTATTAGAAAACACAATATTTAAGAAATAAGAAAAAAAAGAAAAAAAGAAAAGAAACTGCATGAATTGAATAAATCTAGTCTATTATTATTAAACATGCAAGACAGAAAATAATGTTCGATTAGTACTATTGCCACAATATTTGTTTTTCTATTACTTTTCATTTTCAGAATAATCTTCTGGATATTCTCCTTCATCTTCATCAGCTTCTTCTTGATGTGCTGGTGTTGTTGTTGGTTTTTGTGTTGTAGTTTCAGCTGCTGGTTCTTCTTGATCTGTATCATCACCTTCATCACTAGGAGATGGTTGTGGTTGCGGTTGTGGCTGTGGTTGCGGTACTGGTTGAGGTTGTGGTTGAGATGGATAGTAACCTGGTTGATTATATGGATACTGATTATATGGATCATATTGAGGATATTGAGGTTGTGGTTGAGGTTGAGGTTGTGGTTGAGGTTGAGGTTGTGGTTGAGGTTGAGGTTGAGGTTGTGGTCGAGGATAATAACCACCATCAGTTACCTTAAAAAAATCAATAAAATATAAATTCAATTCAAAAAAAAAAAAAGAAATTATATACTTGTAAATCAATTGAAGCTTGATCATTTGGATTACCAGTACCAGCATTACATTCATATCGACCTGCATCACTATGAGTAGCATCAGGAATTGTAAGTCGTGCAATTTTACGATTGCCTGGAAGAATTGTACTTTGTACTTTATATTGTAATGGCTAGAATACAAATACAAAAGAAAAAAATTCGATATTCTAACGAGAAAAAAAAACAAAATTAAAAATTTAATTAACCTGATTGCCAGATCGTGACCAACGTGGTTGAGCATATTGATTATAAGGTGAAACAATTTCACAATCAAAATAAATACTTTGTCCAGTTGATACACGAGCACCATCATCAGGTCCAAATATATATACATCAACACGTTGTGGTTGAAATTGTTGTGGTTGATATTGTTGTGGTTGATTATATGGATATTGATTATATTGATAACCTTGTTGTGTTCGAGGATCATAAGCTGGTTGTGGTGGTGCTTGTGGATATTGAATACCTAAACTTGAAGCATATTCCCATGGTACACATTTTTCGCAACATTCTCCAGGTAAAGCAGCTGCTACAAAATCTTTGCCACAATTTGGAGTCTTACAATTACGACGATCACATTTGGTATCTAAATTAAAAAAAATATATATATATAACATCTATATTATTAATTTCTTTGTTACCACTAATAGCTTGTCGTTTGACTAATCGTTTGATAAATTTCGTTTCTCGACGATTTAATTGACGTGATGATGATGCAAGTAATTTTAAACCACAAGCGACATAAATAGTCGCACATAATAGAATAGATACAAAGATAAGTTTCATTCTAAAAACAAACAAAAAAAACTATAGAACAAATCTTGAATTGATCTTCTGTGTACGTCTTAAATTCAAACTAAGATTGAAACATTTCTTTTTTTGTTCTTGTATAGTGCCTTTTATTTTTATCTCGCTTATCTTTCATGATGCAAACATGAATAGAAGATGAAATCAAATCCTTTCTCTCTCATACACACACACTTTTTGTTCTATTGTTAAGAATGGTATAACGCTCCATTTTTTTTCTTTTTTTCTTCTTCATCTACACATTTCAAGATAACTTCTTTTTTTTTTGTTCTTTCTTTATTTAACAAGGTTGGTCGGTCGGTACATAAGTCCTATCTATTTCATCATCTTGTTCACTCTTTTCCTTTTTTTTTTCTCTAGTTGTGAGGTCAGAGAAAAACTTAGTAGACAATTTATTAAAAAAG